GCTCTCAAGGGCAGCAGACTCACACATCCTGGGCACCTGCTGTCCCCAAACTAATCAAGTTGTGGCTGTCAGACGCCATAGAAGAAAACCTGATGCTAGTGAAGTTGTTATATTCATGTCATCCTCAGTTGCAGGGAAAAAAAAAAAAGCTGCTCTGTTCCTGATCTGCACTTGCTTCTTAAGGCAAAAGTGAACAAGCACAGCCTTCCTCTCCCCTGCTCTGGCCCTGCCTCCTGTCTGCCTCAGCACTGGCCTACTCTGCTGCAGGACAGAAGCAACATCCCAGGGGCCCAGGTACTCTGCTGCTGCCCACTTGGCTGACCTACTGTGTCCTCTGGCCTGCCTGGTTCTTTTCCCCAACACATTCATTTCCTCCTGGCCCATGGGCTCTACAGCTCCTTCTGCTGGGTCTTCAGGTTGCCTGACCAAGACCTTTGTGGGCCCCAGACCCATTTGGCTTACTTCTGACCCTTCCTGGTCTGACTTGACCTACTGCCAATAAGCCTCAGGTGCCGATGGTGGCCTTCAGGGCTGCTCTGTGTGGGACGGAAAAGCCACTTGCACTCTGAATTTGTAGCCTCATGATTTATGCTGCCACTGCCAGATGGCAAGCCATTTGACCATTAAGATGCCTCACTGCAAAGCAATCCAACGAATTTGCTTTCTCAGCACCAACCTGTGGATCAGGCCTCTAAGAAAAGAGCCCCGTTGTCATTCAAGGAAGCCTCAACATACTTCCTGTCCACTGGCTCTCAGACTTTAGCACACATCAGAATCACCTGGAGGCCCACAAATCCCAAATTCTGATTAGGAGGGTCTGAGAGTCTGATGGGAAATTTGTATTTCTAACTGGTTCCCAAGCAAGATGTTACTCTGATCAGGGAGCTCACCTTGAGAATCATGGTTCTAGCCCGCCATTTTTCAAATTTGGCTGCACATTGGACTCAGAGAGTTTAAGACAGAGAATAAATAAATAAATACACCTGAATCAAATCCTAGAAATTCTGGGATGCAGACTGTTACTGGGTGTTTTATAAGCTCTGTAAGTGATCACCACATTTGGCCAGGGATAAGAACCTCCACCCTTCATTTTTCATCCGAGGTTGGACTAAGGGTGGGGTGCACCTCTATTGCCTACAGTGGCCCTCAGTTAGGGTCACCAGATAAGCTAGAGACCATCCAGTTAAATTTGAGTATCAGATAAACCTCAAATAATAGTTAACTATCATTCTGTTCCAACTATTGCTTGGTGTTTTAGTTTCTAAATCTAGTGACCCTTTCCTGAGACACGTCCAGAACACTGAATGAAAAATAAAGATCTGCTAGCTCTAGTTTTACAGATAGGGAAAGGGAGGCCCAGAGATCACCTAGGAAGTCAGGGTGAGGACTACAGGAATTTTGTCCCCAGTCCTAAACTCTTTTCTCATTACAATTAACTGAGCTCTTGGCAGGGATTGTCCTCTTACTAGAAGGTTACTGTCAGTTGCCTGGAGGTGACTTCAAAGGAGTCAGTATAGTTTAGTCCTCTCTGCTTCATCCCAGTCCTCACCTCCACCCCTTTTCTATTGCTGTCCTAGGGTATGGCCATTCTCGGGGCCATATCGTTAATGGCCACCTCAGGGAGGAAGTGGACTGGAAGTGGTCCGGGGCAGAGACAGCTGTGAGTGAGAGCCTATAATTGGGTAACACGAGGACAAGTGAGATTTGGCACAGGCAAACAACAGGCAGAGCATGTTGGGAGAGGCCCACTTAATGCACAGAGACACTTGGAATTAGTTGTAAATTCTCTGGGAAGAGATCAAGGCAGCGGCATAAACAGCTCAATTAAACTGTCGGCTCAATGCTCAGTGCGCAGTAATGGTCAAAACACAGCCTTTAATCTAGATATAGAGGATTATCTCCGGACCCTAATGAGATTCCTAAGATTAGTTGTACCTGATGTGGAGAGAACAGTGGCTGGGTCAGCAACACCACCACGGGGGACAGGCTTGTATATCAGCAGGACTGAGACTTATGTGGAAGGGCTACCTGGAAGCCACAATCTCCTTGGAGCCCCCCTCTGGGTGCTGGGGAAACAGGACTGAATCACAATCTGCTTTCTCAATTTCAGAGACAAGGTCTGGGAACAGAACTCCAGAACACATCTGCTTTAAAAATACAGCAAGTCAAAACAATATGGTACTGGCATAAAAACAGATACATGGATAAGAACAGAATGGAGAGCCCAGAAATAAACCCAAGTAACCATAGTCAAGAAATTTGCAACAAGAACACACAACGGGGCGAGGGTAGTTTCTTCGTTCAGTGATGCTGGGAAAATGGGATATCCATTTCAAAAGAAGGAAAGGTGCAAAGCGTTTGTGGTGCATGCCTATAATACCAGTGGATCAGGAGGCTGAGGCAGGAGGAAGGCTAGTTCAAAGCCAGCCTCAACAACTTAGCAAGGCCCTAAGCAACTCAGTGTGACCCTGCTGCAAAATGAAAAAATAAAAAAGACTGGGGTACTCAGAATGGATTAAAGACCTAACCTAAGACCCGAAACTGTAAAACTCTTAGAAGAAAACACAGGAGAAAAGTTCCTTGATATTGGACTTGGCAATGATTTTGGGGGGATAGCCTACCTCAAGGTCAGACCATAAAAGCAAAAATAAACAAGTGATAGTACATCAAACTGAAAAGCTTTTGCACAGTGAAGGAAATAATCAACAAAATGAAAAGGCATGCTAGAGATTGGGAGAAAATATTTTCACACATATAGCTGAAAAAGGGTTACTATCCAAACTATAAAGAAAACTAACACAACTCAGAAACAACAAAAAACTAACTCTAGGGCCTGGGGCGGGGGCTCAGTGGTAGAGCACTTGCCTAGCGTGTGGGAGGCACTGGGATCAATTCTCAGCACCACATAAAAATAAATGAATAAAATAAAGGTTCATCAACATCTAAAAAAAAAATTAACAACAGCAAAAAAATAAAATAAAATAACCTAAGTTAAAAAGGGGGCAGAGGACTTAAATAGATAATTCACTAAAGAAGACAGAAAAATGACCAACATATATAGGAAAAGGTGCTCCAAATCACTAATCTACAGGAAATGCAAAATAACATCACAATATTACCTCATACCTGTTAGGGTAGCTATTAAAAAATGATAAGAGGGCTGGGGTTGTAGCTCAGTGATAGAGTACTTGCCTACCTCATGTGAAGAATTGGGTTCCATCCTCAGCCCCACATAAAAATAAGTAAGTAAAATAAAGGTATTGTGTCCATCTACAAGTAAAAATATTTTTTTTAAAAAAATAAGAGATTATAAGTGTTGGGAGAGTATGAGGAAAAGGAAACCTTTGTACATTGCTGATGGGAATGTAAATTAGTACAAGCATGATGGAAAACAATATGGAGATTCTTTAAAAAATTAAAAATAGAACTACCATATGACCCAGAAATCCCTCTGTTGGAATATACACAAAGGAAATAAAACCACCACTTTGTAAAGACATCTGCACTCCTGTGTTCTTGCAGCATTATTCACGAAAGCCAAGATATGGAAACAACCCAAGTTTGTTGATAGATGAATGGATTAATTGTGATATGCACACAATGAGATATTATTCAGTCTCAAAAAAGGAGATCCTGCCATTTGCCACAACTGAGACGAACCGGAGGACATTATACTAAGAGAAACATAACAGACATAAAAAGGTTGCACACTGCATGATCTCCCTTATGTATAGAATTAAGAAAAGAAAGTCAAACACATAGAAACAAAGCAGAATGGCAGTGAGGGGTGGGAATGAGGAGAAGGTTAAAGAATGCAGTTGCAAAGGATGAGAGGCCTAATGTGCAGTATGAGGACTATAATAAATACCACATTGAATTCTAGAAAAGTGCTAAAAGAATAGATGTGTTAGTTCGCTTGACTTGTCTAGAGTAATCTTTTCGCTATGTGTATGCATATCAAAACATCATATCCTGCCGGGCACTATGGTGCCTATAATCCCAGTGGCTTGGAAGGCTGAAGCAGGAGGATCATGAGTTCAAAGCCAGCCTCAGCAAAAGCAAGGTGCTAAGCAACTCAGTGAGACCCTGTCTCTAAATAAAATACAAAATAGGGCTGGGGATGTGGCTTAGTGGTTGAGTGCCCCTGAGTTCAATCCCTGGTACCAAATGAAAACAACCAAAACAAGTATGTACCCCTCTACCCTCAAAATGCAGTTCCTCTGACATGCTCCCACCTCCAGGCTAACACTAATAAGCGCTGGCACCTGGCTGAGGCAGACGGAGATGGCAAGCTGTAGCTCTCCATGAATGATCTCAACCATTCATATTCATTCATTCATTCCACAGTTTTCACATGCCTGCCTACCTACCACATGTCAGGCACCATTCTGGGCACCAGACATATGCAGTGAACAAAAGGGCAAAAATCCCTTTCCCATGTGGGACAAGACAAAAAAAATAAACAAAAATAAGTATACAGTGGGCAAACTGGGGTGAGCTATACTCAGACAAATAAGACAAAGGAGAGGGGGGAGCAGGCATTGGCAAGGAACTGCAAGTCCAGATACCGTGCCCACTGAGGCCTCTCTGAGCATGTGATATTTCAATTAAGACCAAGGGTGAGGGGCTGGGGTTGTAGCTCAGTGACAGAGCGCTCGCCTAGCACGTAGGGGGCACTGGGTTCAATCCTTAGTACAGCATATAAATAAATAAAAAATAAAATAATAATAAAAAAAGACCAAGGGTGAGCCATAGGGAAAACGTTCCGGTGGAAGACACTGCAGTTTAAAACCCCTAAAGCAAGAGGGTGCCTGGAGGTGCCCAGGAGCCCCCAAACATCAGACTGGAGCAGGAAAGAGGGGCAGCACAAAAAGGGGGTCATGAATTTCAGGGATCTTGGGGGCCACGGTAAGGATTTTGGCATTTAGTACTAGGGAGATGGGATTCAGTGGAGGATTTGAGCAGAGGAGGAATATAGTCAAATTCACTTTAATAGGATGATGGATGGCTTCCGTGAGAAGCAGGTAGGAAAATGGGTAAGAGACAACTGCTGTCATTCAGACAGGAGATAAGGAATCTTGGCCCAGGGTGGTGACAGTGGAGGAGGTAAGAAGTGCTCAGATCCCACATCTACCTGGCTGGAGAAGGTAACAATAAAAGGAGTGGTGGATGACCGAGGTTTTTGCTTCAGAACTGTATCTCCAGTCCAGACTCCAGCGCTGAACTTCACATCGGCTTATACAGATGACTAATGCCAAATCAACTATCAGCTCCCCTAAAATACCCTTTTCTCTTTCCTCCAGTACTATCTGTCCCGGGAAGGGGCTGGTCACTATTCACCAAGTTTTCTTGCTCAAAGGCTATTACTGGCCAAGTGTAGTGGCACATGACTGTAATTCCAGCCACTTAGGAGGCTGAGGTAGGAGGATCACAAGTTTGAGGCCAGTCTCAGCAACTTAGCAAGGTCCTGTCTCAAAATTAAAAAAAAAAAAGAAAGAAAAGAAAAGGGGGCCAGAGATGTAGTTCACTGGTAAAACATCCCTGGGTTAAATCCCCAGTACCAACAAACAAATAAAACCATTGATGACTTCCTGTTGCATTCAAGGTAAAGTTTCATTCTCCTTAGTTTGGTAGTCAGAACTCTCCTGATGGGACACAATCTTTCTTTGTACCTTTACCCTTTACCCACCATGTCTTGCCCTTACTAATTCTCAGCTACTCGTCGTCTACTCAAACCAGACCATTCACTATTGCCCAAGTGGTTTCTCACATGTTCCTGCTTCTATGCCCTCACAGTGGATGTTCTCTCTGCCTGGAATTTCCTTTCATATCTAAATGCTGCCCGTTCTTCAAGGGCAAGTCCAGATACCACCTCCCTCCGTGATCTTCTCCCTGAGAATTACATTCCCCTTCCCATGTTCCATAGCTCTTTGTCCCTTGTTCTGCCCTGTGCTTCTCTTGCCTTGCCTGTACGATTACTGGTGAGAGACAGAGATGCTGTCCCCAGAGTACTTGTGTATCGGCTCATCAGCTAAACACTCTGTATATAATTAACCCCCTTCAATATCCCTGCAATCCCCAGGCAGGGAATGATATTAACATTCAACAGACTAAACTGAATGATGTTTCTTCAAAACAGGTACATGAGTCTGTTGGGTTGGTGACATCATTTTGGGGGCCTCTATAAATGACACTGTCTTCTTCCAGGTACTGGAAGAGGTACTGAAAAAGCAGCTGCCATGTCATTGCCTTTGGTTAGTTCTTGGTTTAAAGTAAGAAGTTGAGTAGGACAGAAACAGGGCCATCCAAACCCAACCCTTCCAATAAGAAAACTGCGGTGGGGGGAGGATGTAAAAAGGCAAAAATGTCAAGAACGATGGGCATTTTTTATTTGCAGCAGTACATAGTGTTAGATTTGTGGTATCAAGAAATTAGGTACCACTCCAAGCTGTGCCTCTGACTTGATCTCTCCCCTTCACTGGTCCCACACTTTCCTCTATAAAATGAGGTGGCTGGATCTCTGAAAAGACTGTGTCTCTGGTTTTAGCCCTCTTAATTTTTCTGATCCTTTCCTGCTGGTTCTCCAAACCATTAAACACAACATCTTCCTTAGGAATCTTTTCTGTTTCCTTTCAGGATGATTATTTCTGACTCAATCTTGGAAGGTGTGTCTCTACAAGTTCCCAAAGGAAAACACCCATGGGGTTCTTGCCTGCTTGAAGTAAATACCACCTTAGGCCAGCCACCCCATATGTAACCTGGGAATTACAACGAATTGCAGGGATATTGAGGGGGGTTAATTATATACAGAGTGTTTAGGGGGTGAGCAGATACACAAGTACTCTGGATGTTCTTGGCATAATACCATAGCATTACAATAATTCTGGCTTGCAAATTATAGCCCAGCTGAGGCATCACATGGGAAAGTGGGTCTGACCCTTTGGCTTGCTGAAAGTAAAATGGAAAAAATAAGTTGTGAAATATAACTTCTCTTCCTAAATTTCTGGTAAAGGCAGAGATAACCCTTCCATGTGCAACCCACATGCAGGGAACATGCTTCCAGTTTCTGGAGAGGACTTTCTTGTCCCAGGAGCTCTGGCCCACTGCCAGGATCTAGCTGCTAGCTGCTTCTCCTTCCAGAGCCTAAGCAGACAGGGGAAGGGAGGGAACTGGAGAGTATGGAGGGTGGATGAAAGGTGGGGTTTAAGATGAGGATGTCCTTGCTTTTCAGGTTTTCTATTGGGGATAGAATTATCTATGCAGGATAATTAAGTGCTTATGTAGCAGAGAAGTGATTTAAAGGGTAACTTGAGATGTTTAAGTCTAGGGATACCCAAAATAAACATCTTATCCTTCAACTTCTGGGTCCTTTCCCTATCTCCCCCAGAATATGCCCCCCCACACACACACTCACAACAGATTTTGAGATTATTTTCTTGAAATACTAAGTGAATAGATTTCAGGTAAGAAGTTGATGATGCTTTCTGTGACTGTGTGGGGATCACATAGTGCGTTTGGAAAATTCAACTGGCCACAGAGGATGACAGTGCAATCTGACCAGAGAGAGCAGCAAGTAGCTTGTTACTGAAGGAATATTTGCAGTCAGTCCCACCGCCTGACTGTGTAGGGCTGAGTACACAGAGAACAGCCTTCAGAGTGAGACCCAAGTTGGAGTTCTGCTTCACCCCTGTGGTCTCAGGCCACAGTCTGAACAGGTTACAGAGAGAGAAAGAGGTAACCACTCTGGCCCTCTAGATCCAAGAGGTCTCAGACTGAGTATGGCCTCAGCTCTAGGAGGCCGCTGATCTTGCTGCCCGTCATAATGGGTCCCACTGTTCCTAAGACAGGATTCCGGAAAAACAGATTGTCCCAAGGCCCAACAATGATATACAGATAGCAGACGGAGAATATGGATTTGGGGATTGTTTTAGTAAATCAACATGCTTAGAGAATTTTCACTTCTCAGGTACCCACATCTTAGGGTCAAACTATATTCTGGGGTTGCATGACCACATCCTAAGTAGCACCCAGCCCTAGAGGCAGCTACCTTGATTTCAGGCAAGATTTTGGTCTTAACAGGGAGTCTCCAGCTTTTCCCCAGGAAAAGCTACCCTGAGCAAGCTGTGCCCCTCTTTCAGCCTCAGTTTTCCTCAGACCAAAGAATGGTCTTAAGTTGCACCATTATGGTGTCATCAGCTTTGAGAATTGGCATCTGAGCTCGTCATCTGTGTGGCTTTCTATGAGACCTCAGTTTCTCCATCTGTAAAATAGGGCCCTGCCAGCTCCTGCAACTTTAGGCTTTAAACGTACCCACAGCTTGTTCTGCCAGGTTGGCAGTGAACAGGGTTAAAGCCCCAACTTCCTCAGAGGTGAAAAGGTAAGCAAACATTCCCACCTCCCCTTAGCCTTCCTCTCGGATTGGTGCCCTGTCCGGCCCCCGCCGCCTATCCCGTCCGCATCCGTCATCGGATTGGCAATACTCTCATTAGCATAAAGATTCCTCCAAAGACCCGGCGTACGGTGACTGAACCGGAGTCTCTGTCCCTTTAAGGAGGAGGACAGGCACTCTGTTCCTAAGGGTATTTGGCATCGCATTTCCTCTACACGGGCCACGCTGTAAACTAGTAAGGTCTAGTGTTAATCTTCACTTCCGCCGCCTACTCCGACAGTGGGCATCCTTCGGGTGCACAGCCCTGGGCCCGGGGGACTGAAGACGCGTTTGGCCTCTGCAGGCTGCAGGGTCAGCCTGGCAACCTCTCGCCCAAGGCGGTAGCGGGCTGCCAACGAGGGAAAGCCCGCCGCGAAGCAGGACCCGGGCGCCCTAGGGCACGACCCGGGGGTTGGCGCCGAGGCGGCCGCAGGAGGTGGCGCGTGCTGGAAGGGAGACGTGCGCCCGCCGAGGACCGGCGCAGGGAAGGCGGGGCTTGGGCAGCGGTCTGGCGGCCCTGCTCGCGGGACTGGGCGGGGCTGGGTCTGCGGGGGCGGGAGGCGGGGCGCGCGGGCCGGGGGCGGGGCCGCGGCGCGGGGCGGGCTCTGGCGGCAGAGTGTCACACACGCGGCGGCTCGGGAGGCGGCGGCAGCGGCAGCGGCAGGCGCCGCTGGGACGGGCACGGGCGCGCGGGCTCGGGCGGGCGCCGGCTGCCTCCCTCCTTCGCTCGCTAGCTCTCTCTCCAGCTTTTTCGCGGGTGGCAGGGCCGGACTCTCTGCAGCGCCCTCGGAAAGAAAGAAGGGGGGCCGAGGACGCCAAGTTCCCGCAGCAGCCACTGATCCCTGCCGAGGCGGAGGCTTGTGGCTCCGACGGGGCAGGAGCACGCTCCGCGGCGGTGCGCACATTCAAAGCGTCCGCATTCGGGGTCGTCCGGGCCTTCTGCTCGCCGTGGTCGCGGGCCGGGACCTTATGAGACGCGCCTGCGAGAGGCGCGAGATCCGAAGCCTGGGAGAAGAGCGGCGGAGGCGGAGGGCGGTGCTGCAGCTGCCAGAGTCCGAGAGCAGCCTGCAGGAGGCGGCGGCGGCGGCGAGAACTTGAACTTGGCGTCAGGAGTGGGCGCCCCGGACGCCCCCCGCCGGGGCCGGGGCGCCGAGGGACCTGGGCGGCAGCGTTGTCCCCCGAATGGCCGCGGCGGCGGATCGGGCTCCCGCGCCGCGGCCCTAGGTGGCCTCTCGCCATGGCCAAGTGGCTGAACAAGTACTTTAGCTTGGGGAACAGCAAGACCAAGAGCCCCCCGCAGCCACCGAGGCCCGACTACCGCGAGCAGCGGCGCCGGGGCGAGCGACCTTCTCAGCCCCCCCAGTCTGTGCCGCAGGCAGCCTCAGCCACTTCGGCGTCCTGCGGTCCGGCCGCCGCCTCCTGCTTCTCAGCCTCGTCGGGCTCCTTGCCCGACGACAGCGGCAGTACGAGTGACCTCATCCGCGCCTATCGAGCGCAAAAGGAGCGCGACTTCGAGGACCCCTACAACGGGCCCGGCTCATCGCTCCGAAAACTGCGCGCCATGTGCCGTCTGGACTACTGCGGCGGCGGCGGTGGGGAGCCCGGCGGGGGCCAGCGCGCTTTCTCCGCCTCGTCCGCGTCAGGAGCTGCGGGTTGCTGCTGCGCCTCCTCGGGCGCGGGCGCCGCCGCGTCCTCGTCTTCATCCTCTGGCTCCCCGCACCTCTACCGCAGCAGCAGCGAGCGGCGGCCCGCCACACCGGCTGAGGTGCGCTACATCTCCCCCAAGCACCGCCTCATCAAAGTAGAGAGCGCCGCAGCGGGTGGTGCAGTGGATCCCCCGGGAGGCGCCTGCTCCGGCGGTCGCACCTGGAGCCCGACGGCTTGCGGAGGCAAGAAACTGCTCAACAAGTGCGCTGCCTCGGCTGCAGAAGAGAGCGGGGCCGGCAAGAAGGACAAGGTAAGGTGCTTCTTGGCCTCGCCCGAGGTTCCAGAGACACTGTGCGCACAGGGAAACTGAGGCACCGCTCCAGTACCTAAACCCTACATAAACTTCGACCTAGGACCGTGGGGCCAGGTCTCCGGCGCTGCCACTTGATTCTGCCCACTCCCTCCCGCACTCTCCCAGGTGCACCGTCCCTTCGCTACTGCTCCTAAACACGTCCTCTCAGAGCCCACAGCCCTAGCGAGGGAGCCCCGCCCAGCCTTGCCGAAGGAAGAGGGACCCAGCCAGCCCTTCCGGCTCCCGAGTAAAGTCCAGAGAGCCAGGGCTGTCACGGGCCCTCATTTTCTCTTGGGTCCCCCAGGCTTCCTCCTCCAGCACACACACGATATGTGGCTGGAAACTGAGGTCCAGAGCCGGGAGGGAATTCGATTTATTGTACGCAGTATTCTTGGTGGCGGATCCGACCGGCTGTCCCTGAATATGTATATGTAAATCTTTCTACAAGCCCCACCCTCCAAGCCTTTTTTCCAAAGCCGGGTGGCCTATTGTGCTGGAGCGGCACTGGGAACCCCCCAGGCGAGCTTTTCGCCTGAAACGTGCGACCTCCAAGACTGCCCCACACCAATTGGGCAGTTCCTATCCCAGCACTCCCCAGGGGGTCCACCTATCAGGTGGGCTGAAAGGAGACCCACCCCTCCTATCTCACCTTCTTCCTTCCTGACCCCTTCCCCACTGTTGGATCCCAGGGGAGAGGGGGGTCTTTGTGGTAACCCCATTCCTTATATATCAGGCCATCTTAATCCACCCCCGTTGAAGTAAGTGAGTTAATTCCAGTCAGAGGCAGCCTCCTCCTCCTCTTCACACTCCTGAAGGCCTCCTTTCCCCATAAAATAGTACTTGTTCTGTCTACTTGTGGTGGAAGGCAGTGTTTTGGTTGAATGCAAGGCCCAGTGGAAGAGCCCACTCCTTAGGGCAGGATTGCCTGGCTGTCAGGCCCCTGCACCCTTGTTCTCCCCCACATTCTCCTCCCAGAGGTAAACTTTTGCTCAGGACTGGGTTGATAAAAAGTCTGAGTTCCTCTTAGGACTGGATGCCTGGACAGGAGGGAGACAGGCTTCTACCTGCCAGCTGGTGCTTGGAAAGGGATCTTTTTGTTTTCTCTGAGGAAGGAGTAAGGGGATGCCCTCCTTTAATTTTTCTGCCAGATATCCTTTCTGCAATGTCCTGGAGTATTCTCTCCCCTGCTTGTTCTGCCCAGGGCTGGTGGTGTGGGCAATCTAGAGCACCCCACCTCTCCCTGGAGCAGTTTGGGAACTGGGAATACACCTCGGAAGCTTGAACTCTGGACTTGTCAAGCACCCAGGATACCACAGCTTGAAGACAGCTGGGAGCAAGGTGGCCACCCGGGCACTGCCTTGGTGAGGTGGGGGGATATCCCTGGGAGCCACTGGTTGATCTAACAGGAGAACACTGAAGAGGTCCCTTGCAGTCTTATGTATAGCCCAAACTTGGCTTGATGCACACATTCCAGAGAACCTGGAATTTGGGGGTATAGAAGGCTCGAGAAAGTGCTCCCAGAGGTTGCAGCTGACTTTTGGACCCTTTCTATCCCCTTTTTACCCACAGTCACCAGCCAGCAGAGCAGAGCTCCTTCCTTTCCTGCTGCTAGTGGTTCTGCCTCTCACTAAAGTCTTCTTTTGTGGCTTTCAAAACTTGAGTAAACATTTTTTCCCAATTACATTTAAGACTGTTTCAAATACATAGTTATAATGTGTTTTGTAGCTGGAATGTCAAGTGTGTTTAAGACCTGGTCTCATTCTATCACCAGATATTTCTTGTAGGTCTTCTCTGTGTCCTCCCTGCAAGGTGCTAGCTACAGTGGGACCCCTTGTGGAGCTGATGTCCCCGTTGAATGCTGTGATGGGGGCTGTCGTGCCAGGTTGAATGCTGTGATGAGACCTAGTGTTACAGGGGTCAGCAAGGATACCTCAGAGGCAGAACCATTATTGAGCAGGAAGAATTGGGACCATAGATGACCTGCTACTTCTAAAGACCTGCAGGTGGTTCCTCCTCATATAAGTTAGCCAAGTTTTAGCCAGCACTTGCTTTGTGTTCAGAGGTATCTTTGCCCAAGCCAGGAGATGAGGGAGTGAACGCTGCAGACTATACAACAGAAATCTCTGGCCTGAGCCTCAGGAGGTAAAGGCCCCATGATTGGGCAAGACCCTAGACAGGCAGGTGCCAGGGGTTAGGGTCCTTGTGAGTTGAGCTCAGTGAGGGACAATGGATGGATTTGGCTACCAGAGTGATATGGTCACCTCAGATATAACTTTTTTGGAACCAACTCTCTGGGCTACTTTTCACCTACTAGGTTGTGACTTTGAACTCTTTGATCTTTTAAGAAGTTGTCCCTCTCAGGAGAAGGGATGGCAGTTACCAGATGTTTTTCTACTGAGGAGGAAAGGAAGCAGCTGGGTAGGGAGGAGGCTCCAAGGGAGGGTCTGCAAGGCTCTCTCACTTTAGAATTTGCATTATGATAAGTTCCCTACTGATGATCTTTGACTGCTGAACTGGGGACTACACTTGGAGAAGCACTGATGCAGCCATGGCTTCTCTCCTTAACTGTCCGTCTGGGTCTTCTGATCTCTGCCACTTTGGGATGCAGAGAGTCCGGATGCCCTGTGTCTACCTTCTGTGTGTGGCCACCACCCCAACACCATCAGGCGATCAGGAGGCAGTCTGTTTTTTACATTACTTCCAGCCAGACAACTTTTGGAAGGTCAGGCACACTGTGATCTAGTCCTGAATACCTCAGAGCCTTCCTTCTGCCCCCTACCCATGGATCCAAGAAAACCCACTTAGCCTTCTGTCAGCCCAGCTTTCTTTGATTAGTCCTTAGGGAATTGGATGAGCCTGTCAGGCCTGGCAAATGCCCCCCTGTGTGCCAGGCCTGTGTTTGGTTTTAGTATCAAGCCTGAGTTAAGAGTTATTAAGGTGTGGAGTGGGTCTGTTGGTTAGCAGATCCTTCTTCTAGTGCTGCCCCCCACTGCAGTTTATCTTTTGAGGCCTCCATTCCTGCTGACTTCAGTTCCTGTGCTGCCCTCTGTCACACACTTAGGCACCCACCTGCTCTCTCCCAGGTGAGTCCTGGGGCACGCATACCTAGTCACATCCCCACCAGCATTCAGTCTGGGGCATTTTCCTTTTAGAGTCACTTGGAAGAGAGACTGTTTACTGTGGTGGTTCCTCCTCATCTAAGTTAGGCAAGTTTTAGCCAGCACTTGCTTTGTGTTCAGAAGTATCTTGGTCCAAGCCAGGAGATGAGGGAGTGAACTCTGCAGACTACACAACAGAAATCTCTGGCCTGAGCCTCAGGAGGAAATTGAGGTGTCTTTTCAGCATTCTTTTCTCTGTGTTTTTGTCTTGAGGATTTGGGGAGATCTTTATCTAGGAGGTAACCTCGAGCTGAATCGAGAGACAGAAGTGGAATTGCACTGCAAGGGAGGGTCAGCAGGCTGCAGAGAACTATGTCAGGCTAAGTGTGTACCTGTGTGCATGTAAGGGTATGCATGTGGGGGGTACATATGTGTGCATGAACATGTATCAAACCCCGATATGTTCTTGGAAACCAGTGCTTTCATGTCATGGGTCTTGCATGGGGTAACAATGTGAGAGAGGTGGGGTCCAAACTTGGTACCCCACAGGTAGTCCCTGCAGTCTAGAGAGCCACAGAAGGGATGTGCTCAGAGCCATGACTGAGGAAAATCCCAGCCTCTGAATAGTTGCCAACATGTGGAGGAAATGGAGCCGGAATTGGTGCAGTTGTGCTGTAGTTCAGATGAGAGATGCTGGGGGCTTTAGGTCCTGGGGAAAAAAATACAAACTGTAGTAGAAATAGCATTCTTTCAAGTTGTGCCTTATTGAAGAGGAAAAAAAAAATGATAACAAAAACGGCCAGTGACTTGATGGGTCTCCTTTGGTGAGACAGGACTCACCCAGTTATGTTTTCTTCCGAAGTCTTGTTTCTTTTATTATAATTAAGTAAATGTTTCCACCACAACTGAGAAAGTCGAGATGCATCATGGTATCCGTTTTCCTGGGTTTTAAATACATGCTAATGTGTACCAATGCTTGAGATTTTGTCAGCATCCACAAAGTTGAGTTAAATAACACGTT